GGCATAAGCCTCCCCCTTGGGGGAATTCGCCAGTAGTTGCCACGTTTGGCAATCGCAGTCAGCCTTTATAGACGTTTTAAGAGGAACGCTGCTGTCCATACCTCAGCGTCTTTTTTACGACGCCCACGGGAAAGGAAAGGGTGGCCTATTTTATGCCGGGACCGCACGTCCATTATTATTTTTATTAGTCTTATTTATATCTTTTATTATTAGTCTGATTAAATAAATATTATTTCTGATTAAATAATAATTATTATTATTATTATAAAGGGGGGGGGGGGTTCCAGTAGTTGCTGTGCTTGACAGGCGGGCTAGCAACCACAGTTTGGTTTTTGCTGACGCTCCTCCTCGTATTATTATTTTTATTACATTTCTATTAGATTATTCTATTCCAATTATGGTGCCGTAACATTTATTATCTCCATAGAAAGTAAACTTTAGAATAATTAAAAAAATACTCGAAACTGAAATAAAAACACTTGAAAAGTCATACAATTAATCAAATACTTGTTTGAGTCTTCAGACGCGAACCAGAATTACCAGAGGGAGAGTTTGTACAAAAGTCGATTGCTTGGGTACCTCTGTCCCATTCGTGTTTTATCTGTGAAACTGTTGTATAAAAAAAAATCTTTTTTAACAAATGCCAAAATACTCGAATAGCAAAAAAAAATCCATCTCGACATATCACTAGTATTTTTTTAATAGGTGAAAATGAAATTGTAACCCGGCACGCGCCATCGGAATAAACTAGAGAGCCACCAGTAAGGAATGATAAGTGAGAATGAAAACAGGTCAGTTAGCACATCTTTACGAATCTACTAGAATTAAACACATAATTTCCAGAGGGAACCGCTTGGTGGTTGATCTGATAAGGTATATTGCTAGCAAGAGGGCAGTAAATCTCCATTATTAACAACGCCTTTCTCCCGGCACATCTTTAGTAGGTTATACAAGCCAATGTTACCATTTTTAATTAAATATAATTTAAATTTAATATTTTATAGACGATTATTTAATCAAAGTATTAAGTCGATATAAAATAACGCGCAAAATTTCTAATTTCGTAAACACGCATTAGTACGTGGGAATATTAGCCATATTAAGTGGGTACTGTTTGTTCCGACAGTTTTGCTATTAAATTTACAACAAACAGCTTTCCTTACATTTTGCTGCTAAAGTTTTATAAGGCGCTTCTAACAATATTCAATCAAACGCTTCCTATAATAATAACAATGAATTATCTATTGCAATCCCTACAAGTTGCTTGGTTCTCAAGATAGAATAGACTTTGCTATGGGTAAACAGACACCGAACACCTAGAATATAGCCTCACCCTACCTACTACCACCTCTACCGGGGGGAAAGGGATTGTTAGTAATGGCCCCATTGCTAGCAATATAGGGTATATTGCTTGCAATGGGGCTATTATTTGCTTGGAATTAATATTCATGAAAAGGGTTTCAATTTTTTTTTTCCTAAAAAGGAGCTAAGACTCCTATTACCGAAAACTAAAACAAAAATTAAAATTTTCGAAAAAAGAAAAATCTGTATCTATTCGAGTGACACTACACAGTACAGAGTATAGGGGGGAAAGGGATTGTTAGCAATGGAGTTTGACAGCCCCATTGCTAGCAATATGCCTTATTAGGTCGACCTCCACGTGGTTCCTCCTGGAAACCATCATGTTTAATTCTTGTTGAATTCATCATGGTGGGCCAACTGACCTGCATTCATTCTCACCTATCATCTTCCACTGGTGCCTCGTCGGTGTATACTGATAGCGCAGGCGGGGTTACCATTCCATTTTCATCCATTAAAAAAAACTACCACCTCTACCTACCTGTGAATGAGCAAGTCAGTTCGAAATTTAAATAAAACCTTTTATTAGTGACCTCCTTGGTAGCCATATTTCAAAATAAAAGGTCATTCCATTTTTAAATTACAGGACAGATATGAGTTTACATAGTAATTTATCTGGCCGCAAAACACGACAGATATGGATTTTCATACAACTTTTGCTGGCCGCTGCCCGCATGTATCTGGCCAATACGGCAATTTTGATTTATCTCGAAAAAGATTATCAAAATAATGCTCACATTTCCAAGCATGTTTGAGAAAATTAATTTACTGGCTTAAGTTAAAATGGCGTAAACTTGATCCTCATTTATTATAATTTATACTCCACCAGCTATACCAAGCTACATAAAAAATATTTCATGTTGTTCCAAAAATTCGGATATACTTACTTATACACATATAGAGAAAAAAATATCATTCTTCAACAATCGACAACAAAAATATAGCAATTCGAATTTAACATAACCTTCTATTTTAACATCTGTTGAAAATGCAATATAGTATGTAGGTTTGTATTTTTGTCTCTTCTCAGCTATACCGATTCCACCCGAACTATTTGAACAAGAATTCGGCACGACGCAGGAAGTTCTCGATCCGATATTATAAAAATAAATACGGAAAGTAAAATGGGAACAAACATTCTAAATACAATAGTCTGTAAAAATTGTTTTAATATCTAAGAACAAAAATTAAAGCAGTTCTAATTCTATAATGAATACAGAAAGGAGCATAAGGAGTACCGACAGCGTTACAATGGGGGGAAAGGGATTGTTAGTAATGGGATTTGACAGCCCCATTGCTAGCAATATACCCTATCAGGTCGACCTCCACGTGGTTTCCCCTGGAAACCATCGTGGCTAATACTTATTGAATTCGTCACGATGAGCTAACTGACCTACTTCATCCTCACCTATCATCTGATGCCCCGGCAATGTATACCGATAGTGTAGGTGGGATTATCGTTCCATTATCAGCCATTAAAACAAAAACAGCGTTACAATATCCTTGGTGATATTCCTGTTTATAAACGAAATTTACCTCTTTCCATCACGTGTGCTGTCATCTTGTTTGCCATTCCATTTATATGTATAAAAAAACAGAATTTTTTTTTTTTTCTACAAGACAGAAGGCAACTATTTTTGATTTAAGAATTAAATACTCACTGTAACAAAAATATTCGTTCCCAAGACAGCAGCGACGATAGTATTTCGTAATCCAAATCTTGAGTCAACTGTTGCAAAGAATAATTATAATAATAGAGTAGAGAGGCGTCTTTATTATTGATTTAAAAAAAAAATATCAATAATATTTTTGAACCCCATGAGGGTTTTAACTATGTTTAAATGTTAAAATATCATGATAACAATTATGTTTGAAATGTATATAAAATAATCTTCCAGAATAACGTTTCTCAAAAAACTGAGCGCAGCATTTTAAAAACTGTTATAAACGTTATATAATTTCGGGATTAATAGAAAATGAAATATGATAAATGTTAGAAAAAAAAGTATTTTTTTATTGTTAGGTAGGCAAACAAGCTGCCTAATGGAAAGGGGCTATCATCCGAGGAGTTGCTTGTGCGTTGCCGGCCTTTTAGATGTTTGTAAGTACGTTTCTTGAAATTCCCCATATTATATTTTAAGAGGAAAACTAAAGAAGGGAACTCATTTCACAACCTAGATGTACAAGGTAGAAATGAACAGGATGCGCGGACAGTCTTTATAAATAGTAGTAGATAGCTCGTATATTTATTACTGATGTAAAAATCATATCTACTAATGCATATGTCATTACTTATATAAATGCGAAGCTTTATTTCAGCAGTACACTATAATTATATATCTTACCAACACAATAGCAGAAGTATAGACATAAATTACGCTCGTATAAATTCAAGTATTATTATTTTCTAGTTAATATATATATATTTTTTTTTTATATTCATTGCCTAATTCGTCTTCAGTTATGAGTTGTGTGGATTAATATAAACAATAAATTTTAACGCTGTACCATAATGTAATTTAATTATCAAAAAAAAGAATGAAGGTGACAAGTCGACATGTATATATGTTTTAAAAAAAAACTGTCTACAGTCTATTTGAATATAATCTTTGATACGCCTTGTAGTAACGCAATAAATAGACAGCGTAGCGTATTCGCGCCAAACGCTGCGCCCATAAAGCCCCCACACAGAATCGGTAGAAACGCCGTACATTTATTTTAAATACGGGTAATATGACATATTTTTTTAAATATAATTCTATGAATACTATATTTATTATATAATTCTATAAGTACTGCGCCAAAATCTGAATATATATATTATATATACATACCTGACATAATATATTATATATACGTTTACTTGAATACAAATATTTTTTTTCTTTTTTTAATTAGTTAATTTTAAATATGGTATAAGATAGAAATGAATGGTATAAAATTGATTAATATTATACTAACCAATATCGTGATCCAAATTACAGGTGTCGATCATTCCTAATATAATATACACAATTCATTTTAGTACATTAAGTATAAAGTACTGGAGTTATTGTATTGATGACTATCTGTATCTTACAGCGTTACCCGCGTAAATCAGTGCATAAAGTATCGTATGTACTAAATTAGAATACAATCTACCTATATACCAAATTACATTCAAATCCGATCGATCAGTAGTTTTTACCTAGAAAGAGTAGTAAACATTCATTTCATCCATCCACCAGTACAAAATTTTTGCATTTACAATAGGATTTCATCTATTTACTACTAATATACAACGAGTAAACAAATAGCTCCAATGAATCTTATTTATTTTTTTTATAATATTTTTATTGAAATTTATACCAAAAATATAGTTTAATTAACACGAACGAAATGTTGTTTCTAGTAACTCAACAGAAATCTATGCGTTTAATTCATAATATTATAGATCTATCATTTTACATTGTAAACTACTGAACAGATAAGAATGAAATCAACCAAAAAAGAAGATCATATATTAGGACATGTGACGTCACAAAAAGTATATAATACACTTAGTAATAAAACTAAATATTCTCAACGACTACGAAGCGTTTCAAGCGGTCGAAACGCAACTTTATATCACACTTCCATCTAACTACAGATTGCTGGGTCCGTGAGCCGCTCACTCGCCATTCGTACGCCGACAGACTCACGAGTCGTTCGCCGATAAATTAATTACACAATTCGGAACTAGTGATAGTGATCTTATTTCATTAATTTACATTATGGCAAACCTCACGCTATTAGTGCCTGTTCTCTTCCTTGCATTGTTTGTTGAATACGGTAAGTTTAACACATAAGTATTTTTGTTTTAAATTTTCCATTAACCCTCGACCCAGAAAGGTGTTATAACATTAAAGCCTTTGTTTTGTTTACTTGTGGCACCACACACCTTAAAGTACGAAGCGATATCAGTGTTTTTTAGATATGGTTTAGTCAGTGTTTGTTTTTGCTATTTTATACTTGTTTCCGAATTTTATACTTACATTTATTTAAATTTATAAAACTAAATAAAATAATATATACTTTTTTTCCATTTTTATTATCATTAAAATAAAACGCAATATGTTTATATATATCAAGGTCATTTCATTCAAGGCTTGACGGAATAAAATTTTAATATTATTACTAAAAATAATAATATATAAATACTGAAATATTTTCTGGTATTATTCTTTACCGTTGATCAATTAAGGCATATCTAAACATATTATTCATTTTTAATAAGTAGGTACTTAACTGTTGTATAAATAAATAGAATAATTAAAATGAAAAAAGATTAAATAATTACTTAATTCATAATTTCAGAACTAAAGCAAGTAACCTACGTATGCGTAGTTACGTACGTACTATAGTTAGTCAAATTTGTGCTGTTTTTATTATCCTTATCTTAGTTTACTGTCCTAGACTTTCAGTAGATAATGAAATTATGCAGTCGCAATTTTGTTTTCTAATACTTATATAATACATAAAAAAATAGCACCTGACATAAACAAAATATCAATGACGTAACTGGCTCATTTACCTTATTATATTTACATGGTTTGAATATCTCATATTCTACGTGTAAAAAATTTGTTTACACACAGAATATTATATTAAGTATTTTCTTCTATGCTAACTATTGACTCATTCAATACAAATATTGGAATAATTAGAACAGTAATTAATTACCTATTTTACAAAATCAATCAACTTACCTAGGTAAAAAATCAATATTAAAAAAATATCAAATTGAACAATGCCTCAAAAATATTGAATTATATAATTTAATTACCTAATAAGAATTGTTCCGAACACTTTCATACATACATACAATATTTAAATGTTTTACTTTTAATACGTATAAATTTATTGTATACAACTTGTGAAACGCTAAGCAAAGGCCAAATTGTTGATGAGGTAGATGCAAACAGAATGGAACCTGTTCAACCAGTTTGATAAATAGCGCACACTGAACATTATATATACCTACTAAAGAAAGTTAACCCGTAAAGTTTTACTTTTCTTTGGATTGGATAACATCTTTGGATTGGAAAAAATATAAGTCTGTGAATTTTACACTACGCCTACTAATCTGGTATTTTGTAATTATAATACCTATCTACATATTAATTTAAGAAACGAAGCTATATTCACATCACTTAATACATAGTGGGTGTTTAATTGAATATTTTCTTTTATTCGTATTTATGGTGAACATAAAAAGATGAACTGGGTCTCTAGTTCACTCTCTTGGGTCGGAAATGAAAGTATTCTAAAGGTAGTAAGTAGCACATAAGTTTTAACACGGAATCTATTCCAAATTTAAACAACAGAATTTAGGATCGAACTAAAATAAAAAAAAGGTTTTGTTGAAAAAACCTGCTTCAACTTTGGAGTACATTAGATAAATAAGGAAAGAATTTATTATACCCAATTATTTTAGAATAAGCGACGTTCATCGGACTCAAAATATAGTCTAATTAATAACAAAATATACTCTGTGTTAGTACTACTAGTATTATTTTACAAACACGATCTGTATATACACTGTGATGGATTATGCAATGAAATTACGCATGTAAAAGCTACTCAGAGCAAGAAATTTTAGAAAGCGATGGAACCAATACGGTACGACAAATCGAATCAATTTATATTCATCATGTTTTGTATACTGTTTCTTTTGTTGTGTTAATAACAAGAATACAAATTTTGCTCTATTGAAACCTATAGGGATTTTGTACCACAACAAAATAACTAGAATCTTGACGAAATTAGTAAGCGGCGTTTTTAAATTATTATAATCAGTTGACAATTAAATAACACGTAAAAATACAGTAATATTCTTCTTTTTTGATGTCGGTTGAAAATAATATTTACCTGTATTCCAAATTAAGCTACTGAACTAGTAATTCCTGTAGCACGATGCCATGCATGATATTGTGATTGTTTACTCTGCTTCTGACTATTGGGAGTAGGTACTCTGAAGCAATAAAACCTTGAATGAGAGAGACAACAAGACAACCTCCTTATTATGTATAGTATGCTAATAACGTAATATTAGTTTACAAATAGATACTACCTACTGCGTAGTATTTACTTCAAATAAGGCATCAAAGCTCGTGCAGAATTATTTTTTATCTTGATTTAACAGTCATGTGAGATGCTAACAAAACAATTTTGCAGAGTTTGATGAAATTTTGTAGAAAATTATAAGTACAATACTACTATCTACACGTGACTTCGGTTACGCTTTCATCTTAATGTCTCTTGTGCTTGTAGAGATATTTAGAAATATTTATAAAAGGCATTTTTAGTGTCTACTAGTAATACTCTAAAATATACGGAATATCCTATTTAGTAATAATAATTAATTATAGGTATTAAATCCGCATGTATTTATTAATTTTTACATAATATAGTATAAAGATAATATATGTTATTAGCTTATTTCATGGAGTGATATATTTTTAGATTTATAAAACCAATAAAAAATAACCATTCGAATGTACCTGTAATTTTCCAATATTATCTTACTTAAATATCTATAATTTTCCAAGTAAACAAAAAGCATTGATAGAAATATGGTCCTCAAATATTGAAGTAAGTACATTTAACACAACGCAAAAACTCAACTAAACTTTCACTCAGTCATAGTTTGACATACTTTTTAAGCCCTTTTCTATTGTAAGCGTGAGCGAAGGGACCGCTTTCTAGCGTGACGAAACATTCCAAACTCATACAATGACATAATTTAAACATCATACATATACCTATATGTACAATATGTAAACAGGTGTGTATAAATATAACGTATTATCTATTTACGGCTTTGAATGGCAAAACATATTCTTGTATAGACATATACGGCAATACTGATAACTTAAAAGAATTTGTCACCATTGAAGACATTGGGGCCAATTCTAAGGCGATATTTCCTTAACCCTTAAATACCTGAAGTTTCAAATTTGATACCGGGGTTATAAATCGCATTGGGCGCCTATGATCGATTTTATTTTAATATTTGGCTGTTTACATGTTACCAAATGTTTTTTTCAAAATAAATATATAAAAATATCGTTTTAATTTTATACTATTTTTCCCTATTAGTAAACACAGTAAAGGGTACACTTACGAGTATATATTTTTTAATTTGATTCAAAAAATCAGGCTTTTAAGGATTAAACCTCACCTGATATTTTAATTTAATTATTTCGCTTGATTACTGTTTTATGAAACATATAAATTGAAAAAAAAATTTAACCTGTTAGAAAATTTGTTCATATTGGTCCTGTAAGGACAAATATGAACAAATTTAGACAAAAAAAGATTTCGCTGTGAAATCAATTTTTTTTGTTTTAAAATCTAAGGTTTAATTGATACAAGATTTTACGATATATTTTATAGCATTTATTAATAATAAAATAAAATCTATATGACAGCATAATAAACAATTCTTTTAAAAAAATCCTTGTAACCTCCATAACCGCAACACAGTAATAAACGCTAACCGACGTTCCCGAGTTAAATTAATAGTACACAGTTACCACTAACGTCAAACCAGCAAGTAAACAAATAAAAATAGTTACATGGTGACTGCATCATACCTATAGGTATAAAAAGCATCGTTAGATGAGACAACGTTTAAAAATTAACATCTATAATATTACAATTTCATCTTGTCTGTTATAATATTTTCATAGCATTATATGTATTGGTACTTGAATTTTACTGCGTAGATTACACTTTCTAAATCATGATTATCTATTGATCGACTAAAACATGCTTAAAACAGCTCCGTAACTATGATAATTAACAATAATATAATAATAATAATAATATATCGAATCAAAGGAAACGGAATAAACATAAAACTATGTAGGTTTTATATTTATTTACTATTCTATAAAACGCAGACAAAAATTAGAAGCGTAGAAATTGTAAGAATCGAACGTCATTAATGATAATAATTCACAAGATAAATTAACAGTTATTTCCAAAATGAAGTGATAGCCTTGGATTTATACCCGCATAATTCTTAATGGGATTCAATAAAAAAGTCATGACCCCCATAAGAACCGTTGACCGTAGCTATTGTGATGCCAAATCACACCCTTGATTTGTGTTCGATGCCATAATAGCATTTACGATATTCGAATTGAATTTCTTTATAGTAATGAACATATAAGTAAAATACAGGGTAACTGTTATCAGTTTTATGTCAACATCAAAAACAAGCCGAAACCCAATAATACATACATACAGACTCACCAATTATAAATAGGTACTTTTAATGTGGCCCTTTTTCATCACGTCATCTATTTGATCATCATACATCCGCCTAGCGCGGCTCTACATAATTCGCAATTATTCTTTCATCTATCCATTCAAAATGACCAATCTAACACCACATTCCAGTTTTGATCTTGCTCACTACTTTATTTTTCACTAAAAATAAAGTAGTCTATTTCTTTCGAATTAGACATTTTCTCGCTCTATTTTAAAGTTTTTTATACCACGAAGGTGGCAAACTAGCACACAGCTCGTCTGATGGTAAAACGCCACTGTAGTCTATGGATGCTTGTTTTTTTTTATTAATGGTTGTAAATGGATTGGTAACCCCGCCTGCGCTATTGGCATACGCTAACCCACCAGGGGTTACCAATGAAGGATAACAGGTGAAAATGAAGTCAAGTCAATTACCCTATAGTGACCAATTGACCAAGAATTGACCACTATGATTTCAAAGGGGAACCGCGTGGAGGTCCCCCTGATAGGGTGTATTGCTAGTAACGGGACTG